AGTATTTGCAACTTTACAGATCTTCGTTATGCACCAAGAGCTTGTAACACTCCAAAGAGAAAGAACAAATTGAAATCGCATCATATGACCCCTTTAACTCAATGCCAATCACCTGAACCGTGTAAAGCAGGGGTGCCCAACCCTGTTCCTGGAGATCTACCTTCCTGCATAGTTCAGTTTCAACCCTGATCAAAGACACCAGTCTGTAATTATCAAGTGCTCCTTCAGATCCTAATTAGCTGGTTCAGTTGTGTTTGATCAGGGTTGGAGCTGAACTCTGCAGGAAGGTAGATCTCCAGGAACAGGGTTGGGCACCCCTGGTGTAAAGAATCACTCTGGAGCAGCAGGAAAAAACATTTTTGCGTCCTTGATGGGAATGTGGAAAGGAGACACTTCTTGAGCTGAAGCTTTCCCTTCAGGGAATAGCCTATTATGTACAATGGACAGGCTACTTAAACTGCAGTGTGTGTGTTTGTGTGTACCTGGTATTCCCTACAATTTGTCCCCACAAGGATAGTAATACCAGTAATGTTTGACCCTTTGGGGAAATTTTTTTGATCCCCATGATTTATTCATACAGAATAAATATTTTTGAAAATCTAAAAAGGTAAGTAGTTTTCTGTGCGGGTTAGATTGAGGCGATAGAAAATACAATTTATACAGTATAAAAACCATATGTCCTTTATAAAGCGTGAAAACCAGTGTGCATATGCAAGTCTGAGTTTATGTGTGTGTGATTTCGTTCTTCTTTTTTATAATTTTCTTTTTGTTTATTTTCTTTTATTTACTTACTGGTATTTTGGTTTTCACCACATAATTTTTGTGCATTATTAATTAATTAATAAATTTTTAATTGTTTTGTTTTGTTAGTTTTTGTCATTTTTAGGAACAATTGCTGTGTTCAGCAATTGGATATGCAAGAATGTGTATCATTTAGTTAACCCAAAATATAAGTTTGGACAGATTTAATTTAGTATAGTCAAGGACAGAGTGCAAGCATATGTGTCTAACATAACTCTGTATTTTTGCTAAGCAGAATCATGAATATTTATATTCTGGTGTCACATATTTGCTGTTCATGCATGGAGGAGAATTCCAAGCCTAACTGTCTATTATGGATATAATACCAAATTTAGCATTTTATTGATCAGTACTTTAAAAAAAAAATTGTTTATGTGCTTTAGAGTAATATTTAAAAAACCTACCATTTTAATTTTTTTAATTAATTTAAAATAATATTTAAAAAAACATGTTTTTGTTTAAAGTGTCGTGTTGTGTATCAAACCTAATCATTGTTTATGTGCTTTAGAGTAATATTTAAAAAACCTACCATTTTTATTTTTTTAATTAATTTAAAATAATATTTAAAAAAACATGTTTTTGTTTAAAGTGTCGTGTTGTGTATCAAACCTAATCGTGACATGAATGTATTGTTAAACCCTTGTATACTATGCACACACATTATGCAAAATGTCCATATGCATAGAATACCAGGATGACCTACTACATTTGTTAAAAATAGCAGTATATAATAGCAGTATAGCAGAAAAACAAATAGCAGACACACTGCATGGAATACCGTATCCCACCCTGTGATGCATGCATAACATACTTATACTACTTGTGTGCACAGTATGCACCTTTTCTGATTGCATGAAATACCCTGATGCTAAAAAAATGTGCAGTACAACAGAGCACACCACACTGAGTACTATCATCATGATGACTATGATGTGCTCGGTTTGATGTTTTTAGTGTAATTAAAACAATTATTTGACCAGACTGCCTTAGCAATGAGTTTATGTGACAACAGTGCAGCATACTATTGTTGCATAACACATACTGTTTTTAAGACTACAGCAGTTCAGTTTACAGTGTTTACCATGCAGGATGCACTAAGCAGTATGCATGTCTGAACATGGTGTCTCTTTGAGCTGGTAATCTTCTAAAACCTCTTCAACGGGTCAACAGCACAGACAGGGATTAGAAAACCTCTAGATGCATGACCCAAAAATTGAATATAGCCCACAACCATCATCAGCGCTTTCAAATGAACTGGAATTAATTGAGCATATGCGTTTATAGAAGCAATCCACTTTCGTTTCTTTAAAAGGTTAATGATCCATTTCTCGCTTTATGTTAATAACTGAACACTAGAGGTTGCAGAGACTCACAAGTAAGTCCAAGCATCACCATTAGAGTGTGGCCTGTGTTTATTGGCAGAACAACAGAAAGCAGGCCCAGTGGACAGGCATGAAGACCACTGCAGATAAACTGATGGATGAAATAGGATAACATCAGAAGAGTGGATTAGGCATTTGATATTGTGATCTCATCTTATTTATAGGCATGAATTAGTTTTGAATGTAGGTAAAACCCGCATTACCCCCTGACTTGACATAAATCAGATTTTATAATATATATTGAATTGAATTCTGGTAACATATATTAAAGGGAATGTTAAAGGCATATTTCACTGCTTCTTCCACGGTTATATCCTCATGATCTATTAATGTGCAAAATGTTAAAGGAATAGACATGAAATATGACTTTTTTTTCCAAACATGAATGCTTTGCAATTATTTCCAATCCATCTTGTCATTTCAAACTGTTTTTTTTTTTGCTTTTTTTTGGTCACACAAAAAAATATTTGTACATTTTCTTTGAAAATCAAAAAGCAAAGATATTTTCCATACAATGGCTTGATGTTTATAGTATAGACTACTGATCAAAGGTTTGGAATAATTAAGATATTTTTATGCTTTTGAAAGACCTCTTATGCTCATCAAGGCTGCATATATTTGGTGAAAAATACAGCAAAATAGTAATATTTTGAAATATTAATAAGAATAATAAGAGAATAAGCTCAATTATTAATTATAAGGACCATTGTTAATAATTGAGCAGCAAATCAGCATATTAGGAGGATGATTTCTGAAGGAACATGTGACACTGAAGACTGAAAAATAACATTTTTAAATAAATATATTACGTTTTTAAATATATGGCTAAATTGAAGATATATATCTATATATAATGTGCAGACACACAATGATAGAACCTTAATCTGTGGGTGAACTATACCTTTAAGTCATGTTTATTAGGTCACTGTGTGTAAAAATAATTTGCAGCTATATTTACTAAAGGACAAGATTCTTTGTCCTTTACCAGACTCTTGAGCCATGTTTCTGAATCACATGGCTAATTATGAGTGTTGACAATATATTGAAGGCATTCTGGGAAATAACGTGATGTGACAGGACGCAGTAAGAGGGAGTTGATTCACTTTGCACATGTACATTGATGATATTGTTGTTTTCTTAGGCAGGCTCCCTTTTTTTTTCTTTCTCTTTTTTAAACCTCTAAGATAGAGTTCAGAGTCCATTTTAAAATAATTCCTCTCTGAATGAAATTTGAATATCTCGCATCCTCTTGGCGGAATTTGAATTTGATTGGCACACGCTTCACCACTGCCCTGTGATGATTAATGCAGCATTAATCAAAACTACAGATTTAATTTAGTATTTGATCCCTCTGTTATATCCCTCATGCACACTGAGAGAATGAAGATGGCATTCTAAGAGCTTGAGCAGGTCTTTTATCAGGATGTTTTTTTTTTCAATTCATGATTACAGTGTCATTGTTTACATGTTTTCACTTCTGTCAGTTGAAAAGGAATGCCATTTCAG